TGATGTAATTGTGGTGAAATAACTTCAGAGCATAGTTTTAAAAACTGGACATCAATACCATCGATTCCTACAGATTTCTTGTTTTTAAGCTTCGTAATCATATCGTTTACATCCGCTACAGTAAATAAAAACCCAAGCGTCAAAAAAAAATCTAGCATCGCCCGATTCATCTAGATTACTAGATTTTTACTCGATTGCAACTACTGTGTAACGACCGTGGAAATCTAGTAATTGGGCGATTAGTAGATTTTTTCTAGTTGCAACTATTGATTTAGCGCCCGATAATCGATCGATTCAACTATTGCTAGATGCGCCTGCAGACGCATCTAGTTAAAAGTCCCTTTTCCAACTAGTAATCTAGATGACAACTAGTCGGGTATCGTCCGATTACAGACGAAATGTATCTAGATTTTTCTCATAGGTGATATTTGCTTGGGAATGTATTTAAAAAACGTTGGTTACTTTTCTGCATATTAGTGTTGCTAGTAGACGGAGAAGAAGGTTTTTTATAACAACTATGAAAGAATTCCGAGAACATTTCTGCCTTATCAAGGTCTGTACATGCTTGCGCAGTGTTACTTGTAAACAAAACAAGTAATCATCTAATTTTGTCTGCTGTCGAGAGAATGAAGCTGAAGCAGCTACCGTTGTTTGGGACGGTTTAGGCGAACTTTCAGCTCCAGGACTCGTATCTTTCTCTTCAATTTCATTCAATAATAATAATTGTATTAGCTGTTTTTTATTGAATGACGATGGTATTGGAATATTCAAGCATTTTAATATTGTTGCTAATCTTGGTTTTAATTGCTTTTCTAATTCAGCTGGACGACCGTTCTTCATTGTAAAAAACAATTACAAAATCTAGAACACTGAGGTCACCAAAAAAACGCGCCCCGGCCTCTTTATAATAATTTGTTGAACAGTTGCACAGTTACTCTTTTGTTTTGCTTTTTGTTAGTTATTTCATTGCCAAAATACGTTAATTTGTGCAAAAAAACACCCTGAAGTTGAGCAACAAAAGTGACGGTAAAGCATTCCGATTACCTCGGAAGCAAAAAAAGACCAAAACCTCTCATACAGGTAGCAGTCAAAATTCTACTGCGACTTTCAAAAGTCTAAAAAGTCTAGAAGTAGCTATACTTTAACAGCTTATCTTACACTACTAGATTTCTTAGACTTCCTACACTTTTAGACTTCTGGACTTCTTACACTTTTGGGCCTTTACATTTCTTAGACCTTTAGACTTTCAGATTTCTCAGACTTTTAGACATTTAGACATCTTGATTTATTGTACTTTTAGACTTCTTAGAGGTTTAGACTTTTTATACTTCTAGACTTCTTACACTTTTGGAATTTTACACTTCTTAGACTTTTAGATTACTCACACTGTTAGATTTCTTAAACTTCTTAGACTTCTTGGACTTATAGCATCCTTGATTGAATATAAAATATTCAAATGGAAATATTGCTGATGTCACCATGGCGCTATTGATATATCGGCCGCATGTGAAAGAACGCCAGATGACGTTTGGCATGAATGGAAATATTCCTGATGCCACGTCGAGGGAGTCCAAAAGAAGCGACCGATTGATAATTCAGACAATGAAGACTTGGAGCCACTATGACACTATTGATACATTGGCTGTATGCGAAAGACGCCAGATGATATTTGACTTGAAGGGAAATATTCCTGATGTCACGACGAAGCAGTCGAAAAGAAGCAGCTCAATGACCATGCCGATAATATAGACTTGGAACCACGGCGCTATTTATAAATCGGGTGCATGTGAAACGACGCCAGATGACCTTTGACTTGAATCGAAATATTCCTGATGTCACGTCGAAGGGGTCGAAAAGAACCGGCTCAATGACCATGCAGATAATGAAGACTTGGAGCCATGATGCTATTGATATATCGGCTGCATGTGAAAGAATGCTAGCTGACATTTGACCTGAAGGGAAATATTCCTGATGTCACGACGAAGGAGTCGAAAAGAAGCGGCTCAATGACCATGCAGATAATGAATACCTGGAATAATGACGCTCAAGAAAATTGAACAAGAACAATATCGCGCGCCAACTCTATGCTACCAGTCTACTTATTATGACCAATAACCTCCTGCGATGTATAAAAACTTTTCTTCATGAATGGAGACGTAAGCTGGTTTGGTGTCTTTTTCTGGAAAGATTTTCGAACAAAAATTAGACTTTTATTCTCTACTTCTACCAGAAGACATTGACTTAAAAACCTGAAACTTTTTCTCAAGTAACCCGATTCCGAGAGAATAAAATCTTTGGGCAGGAAGGGAAGGTGCCCTAAACTGAGGCATGTTATAACGTTCGTGCACACTTCTAAAGGCAAACCAAAAAGCTTCTCAGCACGACACTAAAAGCCAGAATAGCTCGAAAATTTAGATGTTGAAGAATCTAACGAAATGAAAAGAGCATGAGATCCTCCTTGGATCTCATTTTTATACCAGACACCCATGGTTTCGATCATACAGAGTATCCAAGACACATTCATATTTTTTTCAACAAATTGCTTAGTTGAGTCCTACCATCAAGAGTATCTGGTATAAAAATGAGATCCAACCACAGTCGTATGGAAAATATATTAATTTAAGTATATCATTGATTTTGACTAGGAGAATATTTTCAGCAAGGCACTAGTTAGCAGAATTGAGATTTTTACCCTTACCATGGAGAACTGCTTGTTTTCAATGACAACTTTGACTTCTTTGATAAAAGGTATAAATGAACTTCATGCTTTCCAGTATTCTCAGAGAGTGCCTAGATTGAAAATGTATAAGTGAAAAGCCTACCCGATGCGTCCGGTGGTTGATGTATGTTATATTGAATATATAACGTGTATAAAAAGACGTTGAGTTGATTTATAAATCGAGGGTTAGAATGCTGAAATCAGAATATTTATAGCTATTTTAAACTTTTTATTAAAAATTAAAATAGTTATAAATCATATACTTTTAAACTCTTCAGTGCCACTCTCCCTCCCCCGACTAGGAGATCGCTATAGTCTTAACCTCCAAAAAGAACAGATTTAGTTATCGAATATCTTGCAACCTGAATATGTTAAACAAACTAAAATAAAGAAAGTTTTTATTTAACTTTTTTTTGTGACTACCATTGCCAATTTAAACATCTGAACATAAAAGAAATCCGATTTGATTGAATTTGAATGTTTACAATACAAACAACGGATTTTTTTTCAACGTTCTTTTTCTTTCTCTCTTCTAACGCTAATAATTCAAAATAAATATTTTGAAATTTGAAACTCCTTATTAGTGGACTTTCTCAAGGTGATACAATAGATTCAAACATTCTTAATGAAATGAAAGCTTGTTAATGCTATGAATCAAACAAAGCGCAGTCATTGTGAAGAACAATTTTAAGGCTATCCATGACGAGAAGTAGACACATGCTATAAATTTGGTTGTAGTATCCATACCAAAATACAGTGCAGGGTGCCACTTTTTGAATAACTTTTGATAGGAATGAGATAGAGACCTGCGATTTTCGCTGTTCAATAGCCAAGACTTGAGCAGAACTTTTCACAAGC